GAAATCTTGGAATTCCAAAGGCCGGTTTGGAATTCCAAGAGACAAACATTAAACAAACATAAAAAGCATAAAACTATATTAATTAAAAGATAATAAATGAACTAAAATGTTAGCTCATAATGAGCTAACCCTTAGTTCAATAAATGAACTAAAGTTCAGCTCATAAATGAACTAAAAGTTTAGCTCAAATATGAAAAACTACTAGACTCAAGGGAAGCCAAAATATGATTTATTTTGGACTAGGGTTGACCCCCCCTTTGTCTACATCACAATGTGCTCACGCAAATCACATGCACGCATTTTGGTAGATTTGCATAATGTGGTCGCACTCTTATTTACCTGCGTGTTTTTCGAAGAAGCTACTTGCTTTTCAATATACATTGATTTTTTTCTATTTTAAAATAATAACATGTGTTTTAGTGCAGTTGCAATTTTTTTAGACTATCGCACACATTTCAGTGCCACAGCATGCTTTAAGAGGTGTTTGCATGCAATTCGAAGTGGAGCATGCTTCTCAGTATCACACTTCTCGAGGAACTATGCTTGAGTTTTGAAAATTACATTTTGATGCACGTGAGACTTTCTTAAAACATTCAAATTTGATTATTTGTGCATGTATGCTATTGGAGTGCACACAATACATTATTTTGAGATTTAAAATATGTCTTCCATCCGCTTGCATGTTTGTGTTGCAGATCTGATGGTGTTAAAAATAAATTAGATTCTATTTTTAGATTCCTTTAGCTTTTAAATAAAGTAGAATTCATCCTTAAGTGAGCTAATTTAAGGCAAGTAGAAGCATCTTTTCATTTCTATAAATTGATAGAATATTCAGCTTATTTTATTTCAACGCAATTCTTTGAATGAATCCTTAAGGATTTGTAAGTGTTCTAGTGTTGGCATAGAGGGTTATGTATTCACAAGCATGCTTTTCCGGTTCGTTACAAGTTCTCTATAAGTCTTTAAATTTTGTAATTTTAATTCTATAAATTATGTAAGTCTTTTAATTCACAATCGCATTTTTTCTTTTAAAAATAATACTTTTAAGTTTGATTTCTTGTAAGTACATTTTATGCAAATTTCGACAACCTCCCAATATCTCCTCGTAAGGGGAGTCATCAGGCAGTACTAGGCATACCCACCACTCTAAATAAAACGTGTATTGTCAATTTCATAAGACACAATGGCCAGGGTCTTCAACCCACCGCACCGAAATGGCACGTATGTGTCTTTGGATATATGTTTATAGACTCATAAATTTCCCTGTTGCGCTAAGAAAAGTGCGTACAAATAATAAAAAATTTTCCAATCGCACTAAAAAGAGCACGTACTTACCTATCAACATCATGGGGCATTGTTTATGAGATTCCCTTGTTGGGTTAGGAAAAGCAAGCACGGTGTTCACTCGTTGTGGTAAGCACATTGCCAACAACATTTTTGGAGATTTTTCTAGTTCTAGGGATTTGTACCTTCGTGAGGCGAGCAATGACAAAACAAAATTTACAAGAGAGAACACTTTTTTAATTTTCCCTTCTTTTTTTGTTTATTGTTTTTTTTATATAATACATAGAGAGAGAGAAAGAGAAAGTATGAGAGCGTGTGTGGGATATCTCTATTAGAGAGAGAGGAGGGAGGGAATAGAGAAATAGGTAGCCAACTAGGTGAATTGAGGTCGGAGTGGGTTTAAGGAGAGGGAAGAGATGGATTGCTAAATAGGCAGCAAATTCACATCTAGTTGGGTTGTTGGACGACAATAGCTATGTGAGGGATTGAGAGAGTAAATAGGGTGTAGGAGGAGAAGTTCAGGCGAAAGTCGAGCAGGTGTTGGGTGGTTTGAGAGTGGTTATGTGAGGAGAAAATGTTTGGATGTAATGGAAAAATTGTTGGACTGTGTCAACTATGAAGAAAAACGAGCTGGGGGCTAAGCGCAACTTAGCATCGAAGGGTGGGAGCAGAGGGATGTAAGCTGGGAGTGGGTGTTGGCCGATGGTTGAGGTCGTAGGGGGTTGAAGGCAACTAGTTGAAGAAGGTCGTGTAGGAGCAGGTTGAGTGATTGGGTGAGAAGAGGTGGTGTTGATGCATTGAGGTCATGTGTTGCAGGCCAAGCAGGATGGTGGGCTCATATGCAATGATTGGGAGATGTGTGTAAGGCTGCTGGTGGGGATCAAGTGTGTGGGAAAGCGAAGTATAAGAGAGTGTGAAGGGGATATGGAACCACAACTATGAGAAGTGTGGGAAGGGGAGAACTACAGGGGATGATGCGTGTGAATGGGAGGAAACAACAGTATGAGAGAGTAATGAGAATCCTGGATTAGGGAGATTTTGAACAACTTTAATTCCTTTGGTCAAATTATAAAGGCAGGGATAATATATAAAAGGATTTTTTATTGATTATTTATTTAATCTTATTTTAATTTTCTTATTTAAAATAATAAATTTTAAAAGATATGATAATAATAACAATAAATTAATAAGGGGTATGTTTTTTATCTTCGCATAATTCCTCATTGATCGCACGTCTTGATCTGTGTTGCCACCTTATGTATGATCAAATTCAGCCTATTTTGCTCACCTGCCAACTCAGGCAATATAAGTGTCATTTTCGAGTTATTTCAACTTTTCAACACAACAGATAAGTGCATATCTCAAACGGGCGATGTTCGAGCTACTTCGTCCAGCATAGCATCCATAGAACGGCATTATCATACCGCATTCTCTGGAATTGATCGCCAGAGGTCCCTTATAAGTATTTTTCAATGTTTCAAATGCAACGGTATAGTTCGTTTAACAATCAAAAAATGCTCAATGATTTTTCGTGCAACATCGTGCCCATAGATCATTGCTTTTATTGTTACTCAACGGGTCGCACACGAATGGATCTTATTAGATAAATTTGATATTTTGGATAGGTCGACAACTCTATTTCACGAACATAAGAATTTTGAGTGATTTTGTGTGACATCGAGGCATTTCGAGCTTAGTACGTGTGACCTTAAGGTGTTTCAAACCAGCCATACATGACATTGCGTCGTTTGGTCGTCCTTCTCATTGTGCTTGCTTGAATCAATTTTGGTGCATATGTGGAGGTCAACAACTCACTCCCCGCAATAATTCTTGTGCATTTTTCACAACTTAATGTTGCTAGTGTAGTACCTTCTTGCTTACAAGTTTCATCTAAAGAATGCTAAATCTTCATGTTCTCTAGCTCGTTGCTACCTCTGCCACTTAGTCTTTGCTCGGACTCAATCTCATAAGCATACTTCGCATTTTAAGTATTTTTACATCATTATTTATATCATTTACATCTTTGATTTTTTTTATTTTCCTTTCAAATTATTGGAGATTATGATTATAAAATGTATCATTCTATTTGTTAAAAAAAGGAATTTCTTAAGTAATTTTAGTTTTGGTTGATTTAATAAGTATTACATGCACATAATATATATATATAATATATAATATAATATAAAAATTAGCAAAATCATTTCTTTTTGTGCATTAAAACAAATAACAAACATTTGTGCATAGTATTTTGCTTAACGCTTTGAAAGCACTTATTTCAATATCTTATATCTATACAAAAGAATAAGGATATAAATGTGGATGTAACTTCTAGAGTGAAGAAGAGAGATTAAAATAGAAAAGCTCCTTAAGATTATTCTGGCATAAAAGAATATCATACAAAGGTGTACAACAAATTACTATTATGCCTATTGCCCAACTCTCCCTAGTTTCATTATTAACAACAATTATAAACCATTGTTATTGGATAAGGGTCTAGAACATATAAATATTATAATCTGCCGGATATAAATCCTTAACTTCCACAAAAATAAATCACTATTAATATAAAAAACAACAAACATTTTTTTCATTCTACAAAATCATTCAATGCTCATGAAAATTTCATACTCCAGAAGAAAAATAGTAAACAAACATAAAATTCCAAAAATATCAAGTTAACACTAAAAAAAGAAAGGCTGAAATATATCACACTTAAGAAAATTTCAATAACACACACAAGCTAATGACCAAACAAATTAAGATAAGAACAAAAATAGAAATCACCAAAGGAAAACAAAATCTTGCGCCAGTACAAGAAAACTCACTTCCATAAATAGTCATTAACACTTGTGAAGCATTCAAAGAAAACAAATTCAATCGGCAGGCAAAAACAATTTATAATGATCCAAGCTAAAAAGTTATCATAATCCTCTTAGATCTAGTAAAAAACTATTAGTTTCAATTCAACTACTTCAATTTTAATAAATATAGCATGTTTCAACTTTAAAGTTAAGAACATTTTCAGTTAAGATGGAAAAAATGCTTCTGTATAGAAAATAAAATGCCGTATACTTTTATTTTATTTTATTTTATTTTATAATGAAACAGGAATTTAACGGAGTTTCAGATTTTATCGAACCAGAACGAATCAATTCTCTTTTAATGCCTAAATAGAGGCAATTCTTTTAATCTTATTTTCAGTAGCTAATTACATGAGTTTCTACTTTCTACCCACTGATTTCTAACACTAGCATGATAAAGTGCAAAAATATGTACGCATGTGCTTGATAGAAATAAAGGAAATACTATTTCGAATAGCATGGTTGGCTTATTTCTGCCCAAAATTAATAGTCTATCTCAGCCTCTTTACTTGTGCTTCAATGTGCATTCAAGTTATATCAGCAGATAAACCCTGCACAATAACATGCACAACAAAGCCAAGAAAGAATAAACTGGCTGTAATGATACAATCAAGAACAGCAATTCAAGTTTTCCTTTGAAGCTATTAATATATCTATAATGCCAAATACATATCTGCTCAAACATGTAATCATATTTTGAAAAATCGCATACAGACTTTCACTCTTCAAATGAAATTTATATCTGGTGCTCCCAATACACGTGTTAAAAGAAAGGCATCGGACATTCTAAAAAAAAATAAGAGCAACCAAATGTTGAACATGACACAAAAAAAAGCAAGCAAAGCAGATTTGTACCTCAAGTTCTCTCTCCAACTCTTCTAAATATTCCTTTGTTCTAGTGCCGCTCTGTATCCATGAAAAAAGAAACATAAACAAAAATAAGTTTCAACAAAACTTGTTGCTTCCATTTCCTTAGCGCTAATGCAATGTGAAATTCCTTGGGAGAATTGTACAAAAGAGCTAGATTAGGGAAAATAGTATCGTGGTCCTTGCATTTTCGCCCTTTCAACAATTTGGTCTTTTTTCTTCTAAAACTATTTTATTTTTTGCTTCTTTTCAAATAAAAAGAAATCTTTTTATCTGAATCTGTCAGGTCTTCAGACAAGACAACACCGATGATCCTTCAAAATAGACATATTTGATTTTCTTACCAAATTAGAGAGAGAGAGAGAGAGAGAGAGAAAAGGAGAAGGGAGGAAGGGAATAAAGAAAAGGGAGGGAGGGAAGAAAGTGGACTGGTCACGGGCCACCCGCGGTACACCCAAAATCGTCTATGGCTTGGAACGGTGTTAGAGTTTGGACAGACGGAGGAAGTATATACAATGACGTGTGAGACTTACAAAGTTTCTATTTCAAAAAATTCATTGAAAATTATAGATTTTGTTTGCAAATCTTTGCACCACTTCTATGATGTTATCAGTATCCATCATCTGCCCATCACTCTAGCACAGGCATGAACCAAGCTAGGAACCTTGGAGCTTCAGTCACCTGCATCATAACTAGCGATTCGCAGGGCATCATCTCCGTTGGAAACAACTCTCAATCAAATAAACGAATATAAGGGCAGCTAGAAGAGGACTATCGAGACAAAACTGTTGCATGATCTACCATAGGTAGGCACAAAAGAGCCCAACGTCTCCATGGCTGTTCATGTCTGCAATATGGATTCCTGAGGGGGGAAAGAGAGAGAGAATAATGATGATAGGAGCTAACAAATCCCTACAACCTCCACCTTCATCAATCTCAAAGCTAAGAGTAACTTTGACTTTTATCCAGACAATAACAGCACCTTAGTATGAAAGGCCTAATTCCAATTTTAGTAAGAAGTAAGGTCCAAATATATGCTTCTAGAAAAAATAGGAAAAATAGCCAAATTGTTGAAGGATAAAAGTGCAAGGACAGATTACGTTTTGCCCTAAACTAAACTTACCTTTAACTCTATTTTCTGATCAATGTACCTCCTTGCCTCGTAATCCTGAAGTTGAACAGAGATTTAGCTATTTCAAAACTTCAAATTAGAAATTATATATAGAATTTAAGGAAAGGCTGATGCTATTGTAGTAGTTATTAGAACATGAATATAAAGGAAGGTTAGTATTACAGACAGTACTACCAAAAATTGCAGCAAAGAAAACTATGGGGACATTACACTGATGTCATGTTGATGAAACAAGGAAATGAAACTGAATTATTGCCAAATTGAGAGCCTAAGCACTATTCACCAAATCAAATAATGTCACCTTCAAATTATTGACCTGACTCACCTCAGATTTCAGGAATATCATAAAGGATTAAAAAAAATACCCTATGATTTTTATCAAGCACATGCTTTGTTGGAAAGACAGATGAATATATTTACAGGTATTCTGCATACACTTACCTAATAAAATTTATTGCAATAGCACTTGAACCTATATAGTTACCATCATCATAAGTAACCTTATCCCAGCTATTAAAGGTTGGTTTCATGAATCTACATTCTCCATTCATTCCAAATGAGTATTGTAATAGATATTAGAACATCTTCTGCTAATCATATTTTACAGCTTCTCTTACTTCATAATCCTTCAATAAAAGTTTATTTTTTTTTTTTTCAATACAAGTTTCATCTGTCAATCTTATATGCATATTTTCTATCCTTTATACATGTCATACCACTTGTCTATTTTCCACCACGTTATCTTCAAGAGATGCTACTTCCATTGTTTTTCTTATATAGTCATTCCTCAGCTATAATTTTTTTATTTTATCACACATCCATCATAGCATTTTAACTTTTATCAAACTCAATTGGGCATATCAGTGACTCTTAGATTGTCCGACACATTGAATCTAAACATAGACAACCTAATTGTAATTTTATAAAATTTATTTTCAAGTTTCTATGATATTCTTTTATCACATAATAATCCTAAAATACATATTCATTCTAAACATCCAGACTAAACTCTAAAAGTAATATCCTCACTTAAAATGACATTCTTCAATATAATAGATCCAATGTACTAAATCTATAACATATGGGTATCACTTTATCTTTTAGTAGAATGGAATGATAAATATTTTATACCATGATATTTAATAAAAAGATAACTATGAACTAAAATCATAGCTAATAACGAGCTAACCCTTAGTTCAATAAATGAACTAAAGATCAGCTCATAAATGAGCTAAAATTTCAGCTCAAATGGATTGAGCTAGTAGACTCAAGGGAAGCCAAAATCTGAATTATTTTGGACTTGTGTTGACCCCCCCTTTTGTCTACATCAAAAATAAATCAGACTTAAACCCTGCCCTAGCCTTACCAACATTCTGCAAGAAGTTGGGCCATAGAGTAAGACAGAACAATGAGAAAACCAGACATGGGCCAGCATCTCATGGGAATTTGTGATACACATAAGCTTTAATGGAATTGTTGACAATAACAATTATGATTGTTGTTTCATTTATTCTTTTAAAACGTTTGGTACAGCTTTATTTTAATGGTTTTTTTTTTCAAGGGGTCAGGATTGTTCTGTCATGAGTATTCCATCTTCATCAAGGATGTAAACAAGGTAAAACCTTTAGTAGAATTTGCTGCCACTAAATAGGAAATATTCAAAGTTGTAGCCATCATTTTCAAAACCACAAGATTTGAGATGTTTCTTTATCAGGGAGATCCCAAAATCCTCTTGGTCAGAGAGCAAGTACCCCTTTTCTTATTGCTGCTACGTAGCTTAATCTTCAAAAAGGCAAAGCTGTAACACGATCGTATTTCTTTCACTGAGATGCTAATCCCAGCTACAATCTCATCCTTGGCTAGTTTACCATACAAACAGACTAAAGCATTGACTAACTCAACGTGCTGCATAATAATAAGGATATGCCACATACTTAGAGCACAATCAATCTAAGATGATGGCCAATCCAAAAGCAACTCTTGCAGAAAAGCACTGTACTTGGCAAATCTAAACCTACTCCACCAAATCCATACTGATCTACTATTTGGCTAAATGTAAGATGGATACAAAAAGGACATGTCAAGTTCATCAATCATGCACGTTCTTCAATCTTCAGTGGCGCTAGAAAACTTACTAAAGGATATATTTGAGAATTGTACATGTCCATTATGTAAACTCTTCCTGTGAACGAAAGCAAAATCAGTGGAATTGAGTTTTAACAGCAAGCATGCTTCAAGCAAATGAAAACATACGGTCATCACTGAAATCTGTTTCATGGCCATTCCCTTGGTGGGCATCAAGATCAATAATCATAACCCTGCAGATCAACAACTTGAATTGGAAAGATGATAAATTGCACCTAAAACTAGTAAGAAATTTTCAGAAGTTGCTAACCTGGAAATATTCAAGCGAACAAAGGCATATTGTATACAAAGAGTAATATCAGCATAAACACAAAAGCCACCGCCTTTCTGAGCTGAGCAATGGTGAAAACCGCCACCCACATTGATAGCCCAACCACGTTCCTTAGCAAGTTTTGCTGCCAAGATTGAGCCTCCCACCTAAAATTTTGATCAAGTAACTTCAATAGCTTGAATTCCTAAAATGAGACAGCTTATGCAAGAGTTCTGACCTGCATGCGAAATGGATGTAGCACCTTTTGCTGAACAAGGCAATTTGGAAGCATTGCAACAGGAGGGACCTAATAAAAATAGGATCAGATATTCAAGTTATACACATTTCAAATAAGAAACATGAATTAAATACTACTATTACTCAAATGATTCACTCAAATATTCAACTAAAGAAAGTTTCGAATATAATTGCAAGTGTTTTATTTTAAGATACAAATAACAAACCATATGCTCATGAATGTATGATGCAAGACCATGATGCATTATGGAGTAAATAAATCAGCAGAGTAATTTGTAAGAAATGCAGGAGTAAATATGATGAGAAAATAATTTAGCAGACGGTACAGAAAAATATCCTTTAGACTAAGGATAATACAAGATTCTTAAGGCACAATTTATTTTTATACTCCATAACATAACCATGATATATCAAGCAAAAGAATGCAAAAAGCTGAAAACACAATAATCATTTTTTTCTTTTTTTTAACGTATTTTAAAAGGGTTTAAAATTTTTATAAAAAAATCATTATTCCATGATTTTCTCCCATTATTGAATTGGTCAAGTTTCAAACGGCCCCGGGTCATAACCGTTTATCCTGCGGTGCCATTTGGCGGCAAAACCGCCGGTTAGAGGACACGTATCAAGTCCTTACTGGAAGGAGATTGTTTGAGAATGGATCCTACTGATATTCTCGACAATGCATTAGCTCTATGTGAGCTGAAGTAAATTTCATTTGTCCACCCCGACAAACTGTTGCGGAGGATGGATGAATTTTGCTTTAAGTGTTTCATGGTTGAATTTCAAATTTTAAATATTTTTTGGATTTTGGGATTTGTGGATTTTTGGATTTTGTGGAGTTTTGATTTTTGGATTTTTATGGAGTTTTGGATTTTTGGATTTTTATGGGTATTTTGGGTGGAGTTTTGTAATATTTGAAATGGATTCTGGATATTTGGGAGACATTTAAAAATATTTGGCAACCCCTCCGGTTGAGATCTGCATTCAACACGGCCATCATCGAGGTGTTCGGAGTCATTTGAAAATATTTATGTCTTGAACCTTGTCGACCCTATCTACTTGCCGATAAGGGACTAGGTTTCGTAGGCTTTGTGTCCTTGTTAGTGAATTCATATTGTTATAGGACTTGAAGGCCTAATATGAATGTATTAAAACAAATACACTGGTCGCCACGATCGTGTATCTGTTTGAAGGTTCGAACCCTGTCGTCTTCTATTGATCTATATAGAAGGATCGGGTTCGAACTTGAATTCACTTATCGACCCGCGCAGCATCCCTAGGCGTCACGTGTGTACCAATAACACGCTCGCCGGGGCCCATACGGGTGTTTGAGGGCATTTTATAATTATACCCTGTCAACTCCTTTTAATCTACTTAGGAGGATTGAGTTCAAATTTAATAACTAGCGCAGCATCCCTAGACGTCACGTGTGAAGCAATAACACGCTCGCCGGGGCCCATACGGGTTTGAAGATTGTATTTTCCCCTTTAGTATACCTATGTGTATACAAATTACAGTGGTGCATGGGTATTTTAAAAGTACTTGTAGACGCCTTATGTTTGCTTGTACGGAGGTTACAGATCCGGTGGCGTGGTGTTGTAGTTGTGGACGCCTTCTGTCTGCTCGTATGAGTGTTGCAGATCCGGTGGCGTATTGTAGCAGCTTGTTGATTAAGTTATTTGCTGCATTGTACAGGTAGACTGTCATACACTGCTTGTTGCTTTTCGTAGGTAGTTTGTTGTGCACTAACGAATCTCCTGCTTCGTTCGTAGATGCTTGTATTCGTCGTAGTTGTTTGGCACTTGTTCGTAGATTTTATGTAATATTCGTAGCGGGGCTCCAACAGAAGCTCGTGGGAGCTTGTATCTGTAGTATCCTTTATGCACTTTGTTGTGGTATTTGGCTCGTTTGCTACAAGTAGGCAGGTAGATGCATTCCTTCACATACTGGAATTGACTTCAGGATACTGCATTTACTGAAGTTTTTCTACATCTACCCATCAATGGCATGTGGCACATACATTTGTCTTTGTAGAAAGATCGTATGTGTTGCAGATCTTTCATTGTATATAAGGGCTTTTTGCATTTATCACAATTCTTCTATATTTATCTGTAAATGCCCATTATACATTTATTCTTCAAGAATAAGTTATTACCTTTACACGAATATCACATGCAATTGTTGTCTTTTGCATGTCATAGATATTCTACTTGCTTACTGGCATTGGATTAAAAATCTAGAACATCATCATTCCAGATTTTATATTTTTGAACTTGTTGTGCAATCACCAACTTAAGGGTCCAAAGCCCTCATGTCACGGCTTCGTAATCAAGCCTTACTTTTCACCATCTTCTGATTCCTTGCAAATGAGTCACACTTGGAAGTTCTTTATTTTCAAAGATAATTTGCAATTTGCATGACGAGCTTGATATCATGCTCTTCAATATTTTCATTCTCAATTGAAATGATCACTATAACTTGAAAGTTATTGCCCAAAGCTTCATGTCAAAGTTTGCAAATCTTTTACAATACTCCAAAGTTCTCATGTGATAGTTTTGTAAACAAACCATATCCTTCACAATTCTCCTTTTATGTGCTCATTGATATCTCCATTTCAATTGAGACGATAATTGCAAATTTTTTTATTGTCCAAAAATTTCATGTTGAAGCATATGATTAATTCATGCATAAATCTTTGATTTTATCATTCATATGGATCATGATTTTTTATTTTAGCCATTAAGCTTTAATCCAAATTGAATTTAAAGTTATAGATTATTGCTTATTCCAATTTTAATTTCATTGTATATCACTTCTTTGAATTAAGCTCAAGTCCAAATTGAGTTCAATTCAAGCTCATTTCTTTGAGTTCAAAGCTTGTAAAGTTCAAGCATGAGGCCAATTTGATCTCACGTCCACAAAACTTAGTTCGTTTGATTTAAGTCTTTTATTGTTCCTTATCATTTGTTTAGGCACAAATTTAATTTAATTTCAATTTGATTTTTTTTAATCAATTTAGGCTCAATTTTGTTCAAAGGTTCACAAGTTCAAGTTCTAGTGCAAGTTCTAGTCCGAGTCCCCTTTTTTTTGTCAAGTCCTTGAATCTTCAGTCAAAATTTCGGCAACATTCCAGCGTCTCCCCAGTTTAGGGGAAAACTACGAAAAACTGGGCCTCCCGCCACGCTAGAGAAAAGCGTGTACGGTAGGTACCCTCGTATGAGGACACCGCGGCCGTATAATCGTCGCTCCCCACCACGCTAGAGAAAGGCGTGTATGGGTCTTCGGTACCTTTTGCAAAAGAGAAGCAGTTGTTTCCCCGAAGATTTTTTTTTGAAATTTTCTTTTTTTTTTTGCATTTTTCTCCCTTTTTTTTTTTTTGCCTTTTTCTCCCTTTTTTTTCTTTTTCTCCCTATTTTCTCCTCTTTTTTTTTTTACAACATATAGACACGTGAAACACATATACGTATAACAAATAAAAAGGGATACACAAGCATATATGCACTTAAATGACAACACTAATTAACTTTAATGAGCATGGTATAAAATATTTATCATTAGGTCGATGCCGGCTTCTACCTTAGCAAGATTGGCATATCTAATAATAAGTAAAATACTAACTGACTGAGTAAAAAAAAAAACTAAATACACACAATAACATTCACACTAATAACCAGAACTAATTGTAACAATATCAAATATACAACCAGAATTTTACTTTACTCTCTCGCTTGAAGTTAAAGCGATTGGATGCTCTGCAAGGAATTATTTGAGTGAATCAAGGAACAAATAATGTTGATTAGCAATAATAGCTAATTTCACTAACTGATAATGATAATAAATAAATAACTAAATAAAGATTAAAGGAATTTGCTTTATTGGCAGAATGGAGAACAAAGCAATAATAAAAAGGAAGGCCTTGGTGTACGGGAGCTCATTTGAAGACATAAGTTTTGTCTTCTTACCCTTGGACACATACTGATGGAATAAAGTGATGAGTTTAATATTATTTTTAAATATGAAAGAGTAGAGCTTGGGTAACTGACAACATGCCTCAGAAATAGAATAAATAACCTAAGAATGTGAACGTATGATTGGCTTCGATCGTGAGGATCAAAGGCACTTGAAGTTTCGGTCAAACAGCAAGTTACTCGGTTTGTAGATTTCAGGTGGTTTGGACGAGAGTTGCAGGAAAAGTGAAAGTGCTAGGAGGTTCTCGGCTGGTTTAAAAGTTCAAAACAGAAGAGGGTAGAACAAGGACGTTCGTTTGAGCCGAAGTTAGACGGAGTATTCAAGCTCGGAAGGCATGACGGTGGTCGGCCTCGGCTGCACTTAGAGACCCGTCTCAGGACAGCTAAAGGGGTTGGAAGGTCAGCCGAGAGTTCTACGTGGAAAGGAGGATAAGTGCGAACTAGAAAAAAAAAAAACAGAAGCTAACTGCTTGCTTTCTTCTTCATTTTAACGACGAGCCATTTGTTCGATCGAGGCCTCATATGTCCGAGGTTTTCCACTCAACCGGATATCCGGGATTTGCACAAGAATACAGCTCAGGAGATACGAGGTAAGCGTTAAATGCGATTTGAATTTTATTTTGACTTTGAAATTCATTAGATTTAATAATAATATTTAATAGTAAAATATTACTATTAATATTATTAATAAATTAGAATGGCTGGGCTGTGATGATTACACAAAAAATGCTTCGATTAAGGTGCATTCATTTTGAAATATGCATGATCACCTCGAAATTAGTGTGCTTGTCACCTTGAAATGTGTGTAAGCATCTCGTTTAGCGTGTTGAATTTGTCGAACATGAAAATTAGATAAATGGGTAGTTTATTTAGGGTATTGACGATGTCCCGATCGCAACGACGCAATCCATTTTACGATCTGACATCGTTTGGGTGGCGACGAGGCTTAATTCCCTTGAAATGCTTATTGTCTCGATTTGTGCGCAAAACCTCATTCGAGCAAATTGGCAGCGCATTCATAGTATTGATGGTGCTTCGAACCCAATGACGCAGTCCATTTTACGATTCGACATCATTTGAT